CTGTTTTTTTTTTTTTTTTTTTACTAAACCTAGTTTCTCGATATTTTCTTAATAAGTACTTTTAATGGGAAATTATTCTGAACTATTAAACTTGGGAGTTATTTTCTTTGTTCAAATTGCTTCATTTCTTCGATTAATTATCAGTAACCCAATCGTGAGCGACTATGTGAAGAAGCTGTGCTTGAAATTGCTGAGTTCTGTCACTAACAACACTAGTAAAGTCAACTATGATTGCTATCTTTAACTCTTTAGTCCTTCTCTCAGTGTTTTAATTTATTATTAACTTATTTCTGCAGGTATTTCACTTATTCTGGTGCGTCTCAACTATATAAACTTAGGTATTCTATTGGATTAATATTATTATAAACTAGTCTTCATCTCTTGTCTTGGGTTTGTCAGGCACTAGAGATTTTATTTTATTTTGACTTGTTGCTGAGTTCTGTCTTGACAACATTGAATTACACTGAACGGCTTTCTCTTTGCCGCCCTTAGTTTCTCTGTTTTATTACTAATTGACTCATTCATGTTTTTACTTTAAGGCTCCATAGCCGCAACGTTTACGTTTTGTTTATATTTGTTATATTGTGAAGCTTGCTAATATACTTATCGTTCGCTTTTATATCTTTTCTGGGCTGTAAAAAGAAGATGCCTGAATATCTACAAATGTGTTTCTCGTTGGCCCAGAACTAACCACAATCAGTGGGGTCTGTGGAGAGCGGCAGAGAGTGATGACGTTAGAAATACCCAACAACATACGAAGCGCGGGAACTGAAACAATGCGGTCCACAAACAGCTAAATGTAGGCAAGTGTGACAGTGTATGTCCGCCACGAATGCTAGAACAATTACTGCCGCTTTTGTGGTGTTTTCATTTGTAAAGCCCCGTTCCCTGGCCCCTCTTCGGGGGAGGGGGGAGGGGATGATAGAATCAAGTACTCTAACAACCATGTCGTAAGAGTTTACTAATTTTTTTTTTTCTACGTTGGAGTGGCATCTGCGTGAAAGGGTGGGAACCAGCAGTCTGCATACAAATTACCCAGATATGTAAAACGGATATGCGTGCTAAACTCAAGTTCTGTAACAAAACTGAAGTCCTGAAGTGGACGAGTACTCAGAATCTCACCATCAGTTCGACCTAGCCAACTAATTAGCCCAAACAAAACTACCCAATCAAATCCGAGCGACCAACTAGCGAAGCCTCTAAGCAAACACACAGCCAACCAACTAACCCAGCAAACTAACCAATAAACGCAACCAACCAATCAAATAGCCTGCGAGCCAGCTAAAATAACAACATCCTAACACAACGAATCGCTTACCTAGACAAATAGTTAAAATAACAACCTCACACACACACACACGCACACACACTCTTTCACCTAACAAACCAGCAAGAAGCAAACCTCCTAACACAACGAGCTTCACAACTAGCCACCTAAAATAACAACATCCCAACACAATGAACCTCTTACCCAACCAGCAAGCTAAAATAACTACCTTCCACTAGGGCTGTATCGAATAGTGATTTTCACTATTCGGCCGAAAACGAATAGCTGGACCAACTATTCGGCAGAATACGAATACAAATAGTGAATCATCATCATCAGGTGCTTTGCCGACTGGCGTGGGCGAATATGCCTCGCCACAATCTGCGATCTCCTGCAGCATGTATTAGTTTGTGTGCTGATACACCTCCATGCCATGCAACAAGACTGTCAAGAATCTTCTCTCGGTATCTTCCTCTATCCCTCCTTCCAGTGGTCATTACATGTTCCATTTTCCCTCATCTTATAACATGGCCGAAAAATGATGACTGTTTCCTTCTGATGTCTGTGAGTTCTTCTCTTCGTGCTCCAGCCTCTATCAAAACCTCTTGGTTGCTTTTTTTGGCTGTCCAATGTATTTGTAGCATTGTTCTGTAAAACCACATTTGAGAGGCCTGTAGAAATTGTTTGGCCTGCCTACCGATTGTTCAGGACTTACAGCCATATGTTAAAACTGGATGTATGTAGCAAGCAAGAATTATTTTTCTAACCTTGAATGACAAAGATATATTGCATAAGATGTTTTTCATTTTATAAAATGCAGTTTTTGCCTGTCCTATTCTGTTTCTTATTTCAGTAATGCATCTTCCATCTGGTGTTATCCATGTACCCAGATACAAAAATTTCTGTACTTGTCCCAAAATAAATCCATTGACTTTTATTACACATTTAGGAACAATTATTTTCTTTGATACCACCTTTACTACTGTCTTCCCACTATTCAAACAGAGGCCCATTCTTCCACTTTCATGAATAAAATAGAACTAAAAAAAAAAAAAAAAATCCTTAATGTCAAATGTACGCTGAAATTTGCTTAAAAACATGCTTTGCATCCTCCAGTCAGTCAGTCTGTGGTAACCTTCTTCTTCTTCTGCGTTCGATATCAGTCATGCTAAACATTGAGTCCCGTCTGGGTCACAAATAGGATTGTGCGTTTAAGGTCGCCACCGGTCCCCCACAGCTTCTCTTGCAATGTGGCTCCTTTGGGCCAGATCCACAGTCTTTGCTGGGAGAGGTAAGGGCAGTACTGCAGTATGTGTTCAGGGGTTTGTCTTTCTGCTCCACAATCACAGGCAGCAGATTCTTTTATGCCTATCCTGTACAAGTGTGCTCGAAGACCACAGTGTCCAGTCCGAAGTTTAAGAATTGATGTTTGTTCTTTCCTGTTGAGTTTGTTTATGCTGTCACTCTCTGGTCTGTAATCTCCATTCTGCCTTCTCCACTCCCGCTTGAAAGACTGCTTTAGCGCTGTTTTGGTTTCCTTGTAGCTGTGTGGTGGACGAGGTTGTGGAAGATTACTCCCAGCTTTTGCCAACTCATCAGCTCTCTCATTTCCTTGAATACCACAGTGGGCTGGTATCCACTGCAAGACCAGTTCTGCTTCCTTGGAGAGTAAGCCAATGTTGGTCCTTAGATCAGCAATTATTTTGTCTTGTTTTTTGCTGGATAGTGCTTGGAGAACAGACAATGAGTCGCTAAGTATAACAATTTGGTGCCAATACCTAGGAGTGAAATTATTCTTAGTTTTATAACAGGTATCTAAACTTGTAAATTGTCACCGACAGCTTAGTTAATCCATGAAAGCGGCATTAGCTTTCAAAAAAGGAACAAAACGATCATTCCATGTTGTCAGCATTAAGTCAGCTTCTTGTATCACTGAAGGTATTTCCAGCTGTACTAAACAGACGTTTACTTGGTACGCTCGTAGGTGGTGCACAAAGATAACGTTTGACAGTATGAATCAAGATGAGAAATCTTGATATGTTTATTTTCCACCAGTCCAGAAACGGGTGTAAGGTAACGACTGTTCGTATTCGGCCCGACCGCAACTATTCGGCCGAATACCGAATAGTTATTAGGTCCACTATTCGGTCCCGAAGCGAATACGAAGCGAATATTCCGTACAGGCCTACTTCCAACACAATGAACCTCTCACCCAGCCAGCTAAAATAACTACTTCCTAACACAACGTTCCTCTAACCCAACCAGCCAGCTAAAATAACAATCTCCAAAAACAACAAACCTCTCACCCAGCCAGCTTAAATAACAATCTCTAACACAACGAACCTCTTACTTAAGCAACCAGCTTAAATAACAACCTCTAACACAACGAACCTCTCACACAGCCAGCCAGCTAAAATGACAACCTCCGAACACAACGAACCCCTTACATAAAGAACCAGCTAAAATAACAACCTCGCAACACAACGAACCTCTTACCTAACGAGCCAGCTAAAATAACAACCTCCCAACACAACGAACCGCTCACCAAACCAACCAGCTAAAATAAAAACCCCTAACACAACAAACCTCTTACCTAACCAGCCAGCTAAAAAAAAAAAAAAAACCACTCCCTAACACAACGAACCTATTACCTAACCAACCAGCTAAAAAAACAAAATCCCAACCCAACAAAACGTTTTACCCAACCAGCCAGCTAAAATAGCAGTCTCGTAACACAACGAACCTCTTACCCAACCAACCAGCTGAAATAACAATCTCCTAACACAACGAACCTCTCACTTAAGTAACCAGCTAAAATAACAATCTCTAACACAACAAACCTCTTACCCAACCAGCCAGCTAAAATAACAACCTCTAACACAACGAACCTCTCACCCAACCAACAAGCTGAAATAACAATTTCCTAACACAACGAACCTCTTACCCAACAAACCAGCTAAAATAACAACCTCTAACACAACGAACCTCTCACCCAACCAACAAGCTGAAATAACAATCTCCTAACACAACGAACCTCTTACTCAACAAACCAGCTAAAATAACAACCTCTAACACAACGAACCTCTCACCCAAAGAACAAGCTGAAATAACAATCTCATAACACAAAGAACCTCTTACCCTAACCAACCAGCTAAAATAACAACCTCTAACACAACGAACCTCTCACCCAACCAACCAGCTAAAATAACAATCTCCTAACACAACGAACCTCTCACCCAACCAACCAGCTAAAATAACAACCTCTAACACAACGAACCTCTTACTCAACAAACCAGCAGTCATTACGGTAAAAACATCCCTTTAAGCACACCTTGCATGGTATGCACTTTCTTTATTATGTTCCGGTGTGAAAATGTAGTTCCAAGCCAGACTTTGATCCTGCCGCTCCTTTTATCGCCTCAGGTGCTTGTTTTATGTGACCACACACAGATTTACCAGGCGGCGACTTTTCATCTCTCCGGCGTCAGATGTAATAATTAAGAATTCCACACGTGTTAACTGTCTTGATTCTAAGACAGGATTGTGTTAAGAAGATGTCTCTTAAAGGGTATTCTAGAACTAGGCATTTAAGACGCATTTTATTACGGATACTGTGTGAAAACAGGGGTGACTGGATACAGTGTGAAAACAGGGGTGATTGGATACAGTGTGAAAACAGGGGTGACTGGATACAGCGTGAAAGCAGGGGTGACTAGATACAGTGTGAAAACAGGGGTGACTGGATACAGTGTGAAAACAGGGGTGACTGGATACAGTGTGAAAACAGGGGTGACTGGATACAGTGTGAAAACAGGGGTGATTGGATACAGTGTGAAAACAGGGGTGACTGGATACAGCGTGAATACAGGGGTGATTGGATACAGCGTGAATACAGGGGTGACTGGATACAGCGTGAATACAGGGGTGACTGGATACAGCGTGAATACAGGGGTGACTGGATACAGTGTGAAAGCAGGGGTGACTTGATACAGTGTGAAAACAGGGGTGACTGGATACAGTGTGAAAACAGGGGTGACTGGATACAGTGTGAAAACAGGGGTGACTGGATACAGTGTGAAAACAGGGGTGACTGGATACAGTGTGAAAACAGGGGTGACTGGATACAGTGTGAAAACAGGGGTGACTGGATACAGTGTGAAAACAGGGGTGACTGGATACAGTGTGAAAACAGGGGTGACTGGATAGTGTGAAAACATGGCTGACTGAATACAGTGTGAAAACATGGCTGACTGGATACAGTGTGAAAACAGGGGTGACTAAGTCAAGCTAATACCGCGAAATTACTCCAAAAAACTGAGAAGTTTAAAGGAAGTATTTAACCTACACACAACAAATCAAAGGGAAGAAGAAAAAGACGGGAAAGAAGAAAACGAAGAAGAAGAAGAAAACCCAAGTTTAAAATCTTTCACCGGGAGCGGCTTTCGTCTGTCAGTGACATCCACCCCTTAACTACAGTAAAACCTGTGCTCCGGGGTATTAAACCTTTAATCCTCATCCCATGACAAATCCTTAATCCTTGACAGATTGTAATCCTTTACAGTTCCCCAACGGCAACACTGTTATTGAAGTTTATATTCTTTTTTTTTTTATCCTATCGTCTCTGGCGTTTAGCAGAGGTCGCCAAGTCTACCCAAGGCAGCCAGTAGTAATGTGTATTGTCAGTTATTTCAGATACAGATGCTTTTCTGAGTTTAGAGTTGGTTTATCTCAACAGCACACCGGATTCGTGCTGGGATTTCCCATTCATCATGTACATCAGTGTTAATAGTTTCAATCCTCTACAGGTTAGCAAGACTTCTTTTGCGTCTCATTTTTTTAGCAGAGATATGGACAGATTGTTCCCTGTTCCCTATATTCTCAGACCTTCCCATCCCTCTAAGGGTAATAAAAGTGACAGCCATCTGCAACTAAGGCAGAACCGGACAGTGTGTCAGCTCTTTCATAGCCAACAACACTTACATGTAGATGCCCTTATATACAAGGTACTCCTGAATATTCTCTCATGATCTTCTTCAGCTTCTCTGTCCACCCGACTGTCCCTTTCTCACGAGGCACTGTTTTCTCCTTCTCATTCCCTGCCCAAGAAATGCAAATTGTTCTGAATCGGTTATATTCGTGGTTTAATGTCTTTCATCTTTATTGCACATTTTGTCTGCCTAATAAGTTTCTTTTGTATAACTGTCCTTCTTGAAACAGCACTTCCAGAAAAAAAAACACTTCTCATAACAGCACTTCTGTAAAATAGCACTTACATAGAGCAGCCCTTCTGTAAAGCAGCACTTGTGTAAACACAGTTCTTCTGTAAAACAGCACTTACATAAAACAGCCCTTCTGTAAAACAGCACTTACATAAAACAGCCCTTATGTAAAGCAGCACTTACATTAAACAGCCCTTCTGTAAAACAGCACTTACATAAAACAGCCCTTATGTAAAGCAGCACTTGTGTAAACACAGTTTTTCTGTAAAACAGCACTTACATTAAACAGCCCTTCTGTAAAGTAGCACTTACATAAAACAGCCCTTCTTTAAAACAGCACTTACATAAAACAGCCCTTCTGTAAAACAGCACTTACATAAAACAGCCCTTCTGTAAAACAGCCCTTCTGTAAAACAGCACTTACATTAAACAGCTCTTTTGTAAAGCAGCACTTACATAAAACAGCCCTCTGTAAAACAGCACTTAGATAAAACAGCTCTTCTGTAAAACAGCACTTACATAAAACAGTCGTTCTGTAAAGCAGCACTTACATAAAACAGCCTTTCTTTAAAACATCACTTACGTAAATCAGCCCTTCTATAAAGCAGCACTTGTGTAAACACAGTCCTTTTGTAAAACAGCATTTGTTCGTTCTTTAGTTAGTTAGTCTGTCCTCTTGAACCTTAGGAGGCGCATAGGGCAGAGGTCATAGCTCTCCGTGTCTGGCGGTTCATTGCTTTGCTAGAAAAAGAATCGCTTCGTTCATCTAGTTTAGGTTATAATTGTGACTTGGTTTTAGCTTAGCATTGCACGCTACCAAGAGGCATGGATAGGACTCCTACAGTGTGGATGCGATCAGAGGAGACAGACCCAGATAGTGTCCCCACAGGCGACAAAGTCGTCTCCCGGCGAGCCAGTAGGCGACGGTGTCACCGATAATGTAAAACGGCACTGATGTAAATGTGACTTGGTGTAAAACAGCACGTAAGGACGGTTTCCACATATTTTGTCACCGATCACCTGAATGTCCACGAAGATGAGAGGATTCCTTCCATTGCACTAGATTTTATCCCATATGACTCGGTCTCCCGCGGCAAAACGGCTAGCCGCCTCCTGAGAACGCGCACAGAGCACGAACTCCCTAGCTCCAGCCTTGACTGTCTGTGATCCACGAAATACATCATGTTTGGCTTTATCATTATCATCATCAGGTGCCTGACCGACTGGCATGGACGAATATGCCTCTCCACAATCTGCGATCTCCTGCAGCATGTATTAGTTCGTGTGCTAACACACCTCCATGCCATGCAACAAGACTGTCAAGAATCTTCTCTCGTTGTCTTCCGCTTTCCATCCTTCCACAGATCTTTCCTGTGGTCAGAACATGTTCCATTTTCCCCCTTCTAATAACATGGCCGAAAAATGATGACTGTCTCCTTCTGATGTCTGTGATAAGTTGTCGTTGGCCTCCCGCCTCTTTCAAAACCTCTTAGTTGCTCTTTTTGGCTGTCCAAGATATTTTAAGCAGTCTTCTATACAACCACATCTCTGAGGCCTCAAGAAATTGTTTGGCCTACCTACCGATTGCAGGCTTTCTATAGCTTATAAATACGCGTTTCTGTATTGAGTAGTAGCTGCAACAGCAACAGCCGAAAGAGTCAACATCCACAACCGAAAGAGTCAACAGCCACAGCCGAAACAATCAACAGCCACAGCCGAAACAATCAACAGCCACAACCGAAACAGTCAACAGCCACAGCCGAAACAATCAACAGCAACAAAGAATTGTTTTGTAGATAACATCTTGACTGAATCTTTGTATCGATCTCACCGGCCACATGTGAAAACACCCCGATAGTATTGCAATTGAAGAATCCTTTTGATGTTGATTTTCTAATTTAAAGATTAAGTGGGTTGTGTAATCAAGAGATGAGGGTAGTCGTTATTTATGCATGAGTCAAATGATCTTCATTCAAACTCGTAATCGAAAAGCTAATAATGTGGAACAGTTTTACTGCGCATACTAAACGATAGACACAACAAAAATACATTTGAATGAAGAAAATATTGCAACGTTGTCTCAACTCATCAATAACGGAAGACAGCCGCCATGATGAAGTGGTTAGACATTTCGCCTGCGAATCTGAAAGTCCTGAGTTCAAATTCGAACATTACCGGAAATGTTTTTCCTTCAGAAATAACCTTGGCTTCCTGGTCCGCCTATCTTTCACCAGGTAAAATCATTGGAAGTAAAGGCGACTGGCGAGATGTTGACCACATCACCCAGCGAGAGCTGATTGGTCTTTAAAATAAAGGTCTAGCCCTATATGCCCAATACGTTTGAAGTTATGTCAAAGGGTCATTTACTTACAAGTTAGTTAGTTGCGTGTCCTTTACAGGTCACTGCAAAACAAACTCAAGCATTTTTTGGTTGTTGTGGTTTTTCTAGGCAAATTTTACATTTATGTGTTTTCCAATGCCACTCAGAGGTCAGCTCTCGGTACCACTGTCGAAACCAACGCAAGACAAATAGTCCGCAGTTGGGAACCCGACATAAGAGAAATAAATAAACAGAATAACTTCGAAGTGACAAAATGTCAGGACTTATTGTTCTGGAAAATGTCTACATATGTTCTTCCACAAGGGGCCCTAAATCTGGGCGCATAAGTCTTTGTCTTAGTCTTTAGTCTTATTCTTTAGTCTTAGTCTTTAGTCTTATTCTTTAGTCTTATTCTTTAGTCTTAGTCTTTAGTCTTATTCTTTAGTCTTAGTATTGTCTTATTCTTTAGTCCTAGTCTTTAGTCTTAGTCTTGTCTTATTCTTTAGTCTTAGTCTTTAGTCGTATTCTTTAGTCTTAGTCTTTAGTCTTAGTCTTGTCTTATTCTTTAGTCTTAGTCTTTAGTCTTAGTCTTTAGTCTTAGTCTTAGTCTTTAGTCTTAGTCTTTAGTCTTAGTCTTTAGTCTTAGTCTTTACTCTAAGTCTTTAGTCTTAGTCTTGTCTTTAGTCTTAGTCTTTAGTCTTAGTCTTTAGTCTTAGTCTTTAGTCTTAGTCTTTAGTCTTAGTCTTTAGTCTTAGTCTTGTCTTTAGTCTTGTCTTTAGTCTTGTCTTTAGTCTTAGTCTTTAGTCTTAGTCTTTAGTCTTAGTCTTTAGTCTTAGTCTTGTCTTTAGTCTTAGTCTTTAGTCTTAGTCTTTAGTCTTAGTCTTTAGTCTTAGTCTTTAGTCTTAGTCTTTAGTCTTAGTCTTTAGTCTAAGTCTTCAGTCTAAGTGTTGTCTTTAGTCTTAGTCTTTAGTCTAAGTCTTTAGTCTTAGTCTTGTCTTTAGTCTTAGTCTTTAGTCTAAGTCTTTAGTCTTGTCTTTAGTCTTGTCTTTAGTCTTAGTCTTTAGTCTTAGTCTTTAGTCTAAGTCTTTAGTCTTGTCTTTAGTCTTGTCTTTAGTCTTAGTCTTTAGTCTTAGTCTTGTCTTTAGTCTTGTCTTTAGTCTTCTCTTTAGTCTAAGTCTTTAGTCTTAGTCTTGTCTTTAGTCTTAGTCTTTAGTATAAGTCTTTAGTCTTAGTCTTGTCTTTAGTCTTGTCTTTAGTCTTGTCTTTAGTCTTGTCCTTAGTCTTGTCTTTAGTCTTGTCTTTAGTCTTGTCTTTAGTCTTGTCTTTAGTCTTAGTCTTTAGTCTTAGTCTTTAGTCTAAGTCATTAGTCTTGTCTTTAGTCTTAGTCTTTAGTCTTAGTCTTGTCTTTAGTCTAAGTGTTTTTTAGTCTTGTCTTTAGTCTTAGTCTTTAGTATAAGTCTTTAGTCTTGTCTTTAGTCTTGTCTTTAGTCTTGTCTTTAGTCTTGTCTTTAGTCTTGTCTTTAGTCTTGTCTTTAGTCTTGTCTTTAGTCTTGTCCTTAGTCTTAGTCTTGTCTTTAATCTTAGTCTTTAGTCTAAGTCTTGTCTTTAGTCTAATTCAATAGTCTTAGTCTTTGTCTTAGTCGAGGTTTCAGCTTCACCGCAATTGGGTTTC